CTAGACAACAACGATTCTTCCCCATTGGAACGCATTAAACAGGTTTCAATGCATTCCAATGGGGAAATGCTTTTCGCTAGACAATGATTTCGCTAAACAGCGATTTCAGTGGAACGGATTATAATTCACTGGCTGTACGTCTTCAGCCAGTGAAGTGTGCCAGGGGGAAACAGTGGGAGAGAATTCTACAGGTAAGGGGTTACCGCCAAGAAGGCTCTGCCTTGTGCAAATCGCTGAATTATTATTATTATTATTATTTTGGTCCTCCAGATATTCTGGATGTCAGCTCCATAGAAATGGACTGGCAGCGTTGCAGTAGAAAGCATCGGAAAAGCCAAAGATTCTTTTACCTCTGAAGAGAAATCCGGTTAGACATTTAGGATTTGAGAAAAGAACGTGCCGTGTCTATAGGAGGTGTTGCATTTTTTCTGGATACTGAAACTCCGGGGTTCCCTGATTCAGATGTCTGGCATCTCACTTTTCAGCAGATTTAATTCTAGACAAGAAATAACTTTTCCCTCTAGCTTTAGATTTCCAGTTAGGTTCTCTTTGTATACTTCTCAGTAGAGTAAATATAGCCCAGACATCGTGAAGGTTCTAACTTTCTCGTCCACAGAAAGCAAAAAGTCGACCCTCGATGGTTTTTCACTCAGTACATGAGGTTGGAACCCTCAACTGTATTTCAAAAACCCGACTCCTTGTTCACGTCACTACCACGAGCAGCAGAGAATTAACATTTGTTGTGTCTTCCTTTAGAACAGTGGTCCCTAACCTTGGGCCTCCAGATGTTCTTGGTAATCAACTCCCAGAAATCCTGGCCAGCAGATGTAGCGGTGAGGGCTTCTGGGAGTTGTAGTCCAAGAACATCTGGAGGCCCCAAGGTTGAGGACCACTGCTTTAGAAGATAAGGAGCAGGGAGATCGAAAGGGGAAGATGGTCACAGGAGGACAAAAACAGGCCGGGTTATCCCGGACTGAGGCTTCCGGCCACCATGATTCAGAGTGACATGAGCAGGATGACAAATTTAGCAGGATCAGCTGGGAGGGGGAAAAAGCCGCTCTGCTATGCCGAGAACGGAAGAATGACATGAAAAGTGGAATTACAGTTGTCTAGACAACTAAGATTTGGCAGGAAATGAAGACAGGAAGAGTTGCCAACCTATCGCTCTCTGCCCAGTTCCCTTGCTCGTTTTCAGGGCCGGCTCTGTCATTAGGCAGAGTGAGGGGAGCTGCTTTTAGGTGTGAGATGTCATAAAAGGGAAGCAACCTGTTAATACTATTTACATCAGGGTTGCGTTGCAAGTTCCTTCGGCCTCATAGACTAAAATAAGCTTGGCCGGTTTTTGAGGCCATGCACCGTGATGAGGGTGGGCATCGCTGGCCACTGTGCCTCAGGCGGCAATGCTTTGTGGGCTGGCCATGCCCATTCAATTAACAGGAGTAAGGTCTTCACAGCTCTCAAACAGCCAACTCATGTTTAGACACCACAGCAAAGACCATACAGAGCGAAAGCAGGAAGTGTTGCCTTCACTGTGATTTGGCTTTATGGTGACGATTGAGTTATCCAATGAAGACTTTTTCCTTATGGGTTTTCTAAAGACATCTGTTTGATCAATATTGGAAAGAAATGGTTGTTGTGGGTTTCTCGGACTCTTTGGCTGTGTTCTGAAGGTTGTTCTTCCTGATGTTTCACCAGTCTCTGTGGCCGGCATCTTCAGAGGAACAGGAGTAGCAACTCTGTCTATGCTCTGTTGCTGTTTGTTGGATAGTTGGGTATTTATAGCTGTGGGAACAGCTTTTGTCCTTTTCAGGAGATAGGTTGATTATGGTGATCAGCTTGTTTTTGTTGTGGATGTATTGTTGTGATAAGGGGGAGAGATTATCTGACAGATAATCACAATCACAATGACAATGACAGATAATTTCTCCCCCTTATCACAACAATAACACGCTGATCACCATAATCACCCTATCTCCTGAAAAGGACAAAAGCTGTTCCCACAGCTATAAATACCCAACTATCCAACAAACAGCAACAGAGCATAGACAGAGTTGCTACTCCTGTTCCTCTGAAGATGCCGGCCACAGAGACTGGCGAGACGTCAGGAAGAACAACCTTCAGAACATGGCCAAAGAGCCGGAAAAACCCACAACAACCATCAGATCCTGGCCTTGAAAGCCTTTGAGAATACATGAGAAAGAAAAAATCAGACCTTGCAAGCAGCGACCATGTGTGATTAGGGCAGTGGGATGTTCCATCCCAAATCATGGTCTTTACTTGGAAGTAACCCTTTGCAATACAGGTAGCTCCTTGATGCTAATCCAGTGGCTGAAATCTTGAGGCAGAGCTAAGCCTACATCATGCGAATGCTGCAGAAGCAGTGGGGCGGAAGTGCTATTCTTGAAGTACTTCCACGTGTGCATCATGCAACAGCTGTGATGTGAAACGTTCACCTAATTGCGCCACCGAATTGCACAGGGATGGCCGCTAGGATGTAACAGCTGGCACGCTTACACAGGTGTAACTTCATGTTATATCAGTGTGAACAGGATTTCAGGCCAAAAAAGTATAACTGTTGTATTACTAGTGGAAGCAGCGAAGTAGACCTTCAGCCTTTCTGCAGTAGTTACTATAATTGTAACAGAAAGTGCTTATTCAGTTACTTTTTAGAAAGGATGTTACTTTAAAATAATTACTTTTTAGGAAATATGGCCATAGCAATAACTAGCTAACTTTGTGATCAGATGGAGCAGGGGAACATTATTCTTGGCTTATAATGGAAGCGAATTGCTTTTTTAAAAAAGTATTTCAAGCTGTTAAGGGAAAGGAGTTTCAGTCCCATCAGTCAAGGCTCCTTTTAACCCCTTGTATTCATTCCCTCCCGTTTCTTTAGGGCTCACCATGGCTGGTCTGAAAACAGCCAGTGGGGAATACATTGACGACTCCTGGGAGCTCAATGTCTTTGTGGAAGATTTGGGACCCGAGGCGGATCCAGTCACACTCCGGGTCTCTGGCAGTATGCACATCGGAGGCATCATGCTGCAGATTGTGGACAAATTAAGTAAGTCTGCCAAGGTCTTTTCCTTGACAGCTTTTTGGTATATTTGATACGTGTCCATGTATGCATGCAGATGGCTGACATTCCTTTTTAAATGTCACACAGGGCATTCAACTGGCCCTATAAAAAGAGGACATGCTAGCTACCCCTGCTAAAATGTCTGCTATCCTACTATTCAAGAAAGGTGGTGGAGCCTTACTCTCCTTTTCATGTGGCTGCCAAGCTTCCCAGGAACAGTGCAGTCTATCTCACCTTTGGGGTTTTGGTCTCTCTAAGCTCACATATCTGGATGTTCGGTTGTCGCGATGCAAACTGTGTCCAAAAATCCTGGATTGTACTAGAGCAAGCCCCGATTCCCCAATCAATGGGGATTTACTGAGCCAATGCTATAAAGTCCCACTGATTCACATGGGCCTGCTTTATTTACGACTTACTTTAGTATATTAAATTGCCGCTAGAGTAGGCTCATGTGAATCAGTGGAATTTATGGAGGAGCCGACTCATGGATTCTATGGACCTGCCCCAGGACCATTGATTATGTTTAAGCAGCAGGATTTTGGCCACTGTAACATAAAGTTTAGAGAGGTAGCTAGGACTGGAAGAATTCGGATCCCAATCCCCATTCGCCCATTATGTTTGCTGTTGGCCTCAAATCTGGCTTCCAGGATGAGCCACAACCAGGTGGGTGGACAATCTAGTCATGCTGCTTTGATTTCTCTTTGGAGGAAAAAGTGGAATAAAAAAAGGGAATGATATCAACAATTTTTTTAAATTCTCCATTTTAAACAAGTTTTGATTATTCATTAGCTCAGAGCAGGGAGTCAATAGCAATTCGCCCGCAGGCTGCATTAAACTCCTTCCCAGTTGACCATTCTGGAAACCCGGGGGGGTTCTGGAAGCTATCTAGTCCCCCTATTTGTTTTAAAACCAATAAATAAGGATCACACTTTCTCAAAACCTCCCCAAAGAGCAACCGCTCATTAAAACAAGGTGTACAGTCTTAGCATACCTTGTTTTAAACCAAAAAAAGAAAGCGAGAGAGACAGAGACTTTTTTCTCTCTCTCCTTTGAATGGAAATAGACTTTCAGTCACTCCTGCCAAAAAAAAATTCAGTAGTACACTGATTTGTGTGGAAACTTTTGCAATGTTTTGAATGTTCGGTTCCACTCCTCTAGCTGTGGAGCAGAAGCGCCGGGATCCACAGAGCAGAATAGCTTCACGTTCCCTGGATTAGTCCACCCCTCCTTCTCATCAACTAGCACTTATAGTCTCAATAAGTCACTTTGAGGCGCTAGCACTCATCAACTAGCACTTATGGTCTCAATAAGTCACTTTGAGGCGCTAGTACAGTAGGAGAAAGAATTAAAAGGTTTAATTACTTACAGTTCTAAGCGGATCAGTAGTAAGCTGACAAGGACTGCTTACAGCAGATTTCAACAGCTTCTTGAGAAGGAAAGAGGACACTTGGCAGAAGGATGGGGGCTCTCTTTGACTTCTGAGGAAGGAGAGAACTTTTGGTTACAACCGGATTTGATAGTCGCCCAGAAAGGCCCACCCCCAGCCACACCTACTAAAGGCGCCTTGCGAGGTTGTAAAAAGTCCAACAGAAACTCACCCCCACACCTAAAAGCTGAACCCCCCCAGTGGCTCAAAGGATAATATTTTGCCTTTAATAAGCTTGACGCACGAGTATGTCTTTTGCCTGAACATCCAGTCCCTTTTCTCTCTGCTAATGAAGATCAAAAAGCTTTAATTAGCTCTGAGTTCCCATTTTATAAGGACTGGAACTGCAGTTACCAGCTTCGGAACAAGCTGATCTTCTTGGAAATTGTTGGGAAAAAAAGAGAGCTCTCTCAGCCAAAAAAAGTCATGCTGGTACGAAAGCATATTCGAATATTTGCTCTGGTTCCCTCTACTGCCATTTGAATAGAATGGATGTACTGTAGTATTTTATGAAGGCCATGTCATTTGATTCTACGAACGAGCCCTCTTCCAAATGTCCTGTCCTTTAATGGCCCTGCTCAGGTCTTGCAAACACAAGCCTGTGGCTTCCTTTATTGATGCAGTCCATCTCATGTTCGGTCTTCCTCTTTTCCTGCTGGCTTCAACTTTTCCCAGCATTATTATTTTCCAGCAAGCTGTGTCTTCTCGTGATGTAGCCCCTGTTTTTTTTTTCCCATTTTCGCTTCTACAGAGAGTCCAGTCTTGATTTGATCTCGGATCCACTTCTTCTTCTTTTCTGGTGGTGGTGGTGGTGGTGGTGTGTGTGTGTGTTTGTGTTTGTGTACTAACCCTAGGCACCGAAAAGGGGCCACAGGGCAGAGGAGAAAGTAGGAAAACACACAGTACAAGGAACATCTTGAGGTCATGGGGCAAAAACTTTCCGGGTCCTATGCATCCTGTATCCCTCTCCATACTGGCCCCTGGTTTCAAACTGAAAAGAAGCAGCGCCAGTGCCGTGGATTTGTTCCCCAACATCCCATTTTCCAGGCGATTCCCATGTCCTGCCCTATATGGGAGCCAGGCCTGTATCTGAGCCCCCTCCTTGCCCCTTCTGCTGGTTTGTTCCCCTTCTGAGCCCCTTGTTCCTGATGCGTAGATGTCTTCAGGATAGGACCTGAGCAACAGTTATTATAATATTTTTTTCAAATGCGCCATCAAGTTGCTTCCAAGTTATGGCCACCGAATGAATTTGTGACCTCCAAAAAAGGTATTTTCGTTAAGATCCCTCTTCAGGTCTTGAAAACTCATCCCTCTCTCCTCCTTTCCCCCACTTCCACTTTTCCCCCACTTGCTCTGCGGTCTTTCCCAGCTCAGGATGAGACCCTCTCAAATGAAGGAAGAGAAGAAGACGCAAAGGGCGGGCCCTGGATGTCGGTTGCTAATCAGCGGGCTGCCTGGAACCCACAAAAGGAAGGGGGCCTGACCACAAAGCCCATGCGGAGTCACCCATCATCTCCGACAGGCGTGGCTGCTGGACGTGGGGGTGGGGTGGGGGGGCCTTCCTGAAGCTCTCCCTTGGTTTTCGACCTGCTTTGGAGGAAAAAAAGGGGCCACAGGATGGAGGAGAAAGGAGGAAGACGCACGGGGTGCCTGGAAACCAAGCCCTGGGAGGAAACGAGGGAGACGAACCGGGGGGGGGCATGCTTAGCCTTGGGAAAAGAGGACTGTGGGGAGATCGGACCAGGGACGTCTGCAAGCCTTCGAGTCCCGTGTGTGAGTCTTTGGTCCCAAGACCCAAGTCCCTATGAAAAGCAAGCACTTTAAACCCCAGAGAAAAAGGAGGGTTCTGAATATAAGGGGGGAAAAAATTCTTAACTGTTAGAGCAGTACGACAAGGGGAAACATGACTTCGGAATAGTAGTAAGCACTCCAACACTGGAGGCGTTCAAGGGGAAACTGGACAATCTTCTGTCAGAATCTGCTTTGATTTGGATTCGAATAAGGGGTTGGAGTCGATGGCCGTATAGGGCCCCTTCCAGCTCCATTATTCTTATTTATTTGTTTGTTTGTTTGTTTGTTTGTTTGTTTGTTTGTTTACTGACTGACTGACTGACTGACTGACTGACTGATTGATTGATTGATTGATTTGATTTATTTGATTTATTTATTTATTTATACCCCACCCATCTGGCCTGTAAGACCACTAAACTGAGAAGGGAATGAATCTGTCAGGGTGCGAAGTTTTTCTTCCTTTATGGGCTACATTCCCTCCTGGCCGTCCTAATAGCGGAGGAGGCCGAAGCTGTATTTCGACACACACACCCCATTTAATCGCACACATAGATAAGATACGGTGGGTGGGTTTGAGAGACAGAAAACGTTTGCATGGTGGCGTTAGAGCTTTAGAATTCGCTCCCTGGTAAAGTCTACACAGCACTTCCTCTTTGAGAACCTTTTTTTTTTCCTTTCAATTTTGCTCACACTTTAAATGAGTTTGCAAAACTTTCGAAGCCAAGCTTCTAGGGCCTACGATCTTCAGTTCCAGCTGCCTTTCTGTTTGGCCATGAGGGAGCCTCGTTTCTTGTGGAACTCATCCAGAACTTGGAAACCTAATTTTTCTTCTGACTACGAGTCCCAGAATCCTTCAGCCGCCCATGCCCTGCGCCCACCTTCTGTCATGCTCTCCTTCCACCGTCAATCAATTTGCAAAGCTGTTCTGTTTTTACATGTTTATTACGAAATATGTTTGCCTCCCTTTCCTCTAAAAAACCATGAGCCATTTGGAAAACATTTCTATGTGGGCATTTTCAAAGAAGGAGCCATGTCTCACCAGAACTAAATAAGTTTAAAAAAAGATATTTGAAAAAACAAACAAAACAAACCTGATTAGTTTGGATGAAGCAATAGAACTGGAGGATTTCGCCTGCTCTGTTTCCCAGCTATCTAGCAGCAGCATTCCATCTAGCTACCCACAAAAAGAGAGATATGAGACAAAGCCTGTTCCACTGAATCTACAGAGGGACCAGTTCTTTAAAGTCTCTTCTCTTCCTCAGCTAATTGTGTTTTACCTGAACATTATAACAATTGCTATGTCATTTTAGGAGCCAGTGCTGGAGTTTGCTTGTTTTCCTCTTCCCTCCTCAGCCTCCTCTCCTTTTGTGCTATGTCTTTTTATATTGCAATTTTTCAGGCAGGGCAGGCACATTTTTGCTTCTTACTGATCTCTTGCAAGACACCCTTGGAGTCTTTTTAGCTAAAGCACAAGGGGTAAATGCTTTAAATAAACCGAGAGATTGCATTACTATTATTATTATTATTATTATTAATACACTTCATTGCCATCAACCTGTAATTTTGCATGATGATGTTGGATCCCCCTTCATTCTTTCCTTCAGAGACCCTTGGAGTCTTTTTAGCTAAAGCACAAGGGGTAAATGCTTTAAATAAACCGAGAGATTGCATTACTATTATTATTATTATTCACTTCATTGCCATCAACCTGCAATTTTGCATGATGATGTTGGATCCTCCTTCATTCTTTCCTTCAGAGCTGCAGAAAGATTGGTCGGATCATGCCCTGTGGTGGGAGCAGAAGAAACTTTGGCTGCTGAAGACAAGCTGGAGCCTGGATAAATACGGGATTTTGGCCGATGCCAAACTCCACTACACTCCGCAGCACAAACCGGTTCTCCTTTCATTGCCCAATCGCCGCAGCGTTCGAGTCCGGGCTAATTTTGCCCAACCGGTCTTCCGCACAGTGGCGGACATTTGCAAAGTTCTTGGTGAGTAACGAGTAACTATACAAGATTTGGCATTGTTATCAAAGTGTCAGCTCATCACATTAGTCAGTGGTCCAAGAGCAAATGAAACTAAGGAGGTAAGAAGATGTTCAGGGCATGGATAGAACGTTTCCCCCCCCCCAGAGCCTCTTCCTTGCAAAGAAGGGGGTGTTGAGACCCATCAGCCCATAGATGGGAGGATTCCTTTTCGGTGGTACCTATTCTCTTCCCTGAAACCAGGAGACTACAGTAGTGCCTCGCTAGATGATGATAATCCGTTCCACTGAAATCGCTGTTTAACGAAATCATTGTCTAGCGAAAAGCATTTCCCCATTGGAATGCATTGAAACCTGTTTAATGCGTTCCAATGCGGAAGAATCATCGTTGTCTAGCAAAGATCAGCCATAGGAAAGCCGCTTTGTAAACCGCCGATCAGCTGTTTAAATCACTGTCTTGCGAAGCTTAGGTCCCAAAAACACCTGTTTGTGAGCGCGGAGGGAGCTGTCAAAATCGCTGTCTAGCGAAAATCGGTTTGCAAAGCAGGGACCAAACATTGTCCAGCGAAATTCCCTCATAGGAATCACTGTTTTGCGAATCGCTATAGTGATCGCAAAAAGACAATGTCTAGCAAAAAAACTGTCATGCGGGGTAATTGTCTAGCGAGGCACCTCTGTAAATGTTTTTTTAAAAGCCCAAAGCTTAAGATTTTCCCTCCTTTTTACTAGCCATGGAGATTTCTTAAATGAGTGTGGAACGCCTAAGGTCCTGGGCAGGCTGGATTTTATCTAGAAAAAGGATTCAGCCTTATTAAAGAACCAGAAGTATGAAACGTTCCGGAAAAGAATCATACAAAGGCAGAGCAATAACACAGGGCTCCTTTCCTTGAGTATAAATCAAGTAAATGAAACATGTGCCAGCGTTTCTGAAGAAGTGGTTTTTGATCCATGAAAGCTCGTATATTGTATGATGATTTTTTAAGTGATCTATAAAGGTATTGCCTGCGAATTCCACGTCCTCCAACAGAAGTTCTAGGAAAGAAGAAATGGAAGGACCGATGTGTAAATAAAACATTGGCTCTCAGTAACTCCTTTTCCTTAGCTGGTTGTCCAGGTAACTCAAATCTCAGGAGGACTTGGGGACGCCTATTTTAAAGAGTTGTATACATACAGTCCTGTCCAGAAATTATGAAAGCTGGAACTGCTGAAATGTCTTCCTCTATGTAGTTCCCCATTCCTTGAAAATAATCAGTTACAAGTGACATAAATAACAGTAACTAGTTACTTTTGGAGGTTATATGGACATAACTGTGTCAAAATACCACGATGGGTAGTTACGGGGCTAGTTTTGGCATATTGCATACATACTTTCAAAAGCTGCTTTTAAACATCTTTTTAGAAGTGCCTTGCTATCAGTTTTCCAAGTTTTAGGCCACTTGCCGTCCCAAGGGAGAAAGGAGGCTGCATGTTGGTGTTAAATATTCTCAAGGTGCAATATCGAAATTGGCCACTAGAGAGAACCAAAGAGCATTTCTTTGACTGGCTAGAAGCCAGCCTGTCTCCTAGCCATCTCTGCTACACGAGGTAGTTGTTATGCTCAGTTTGCAGCAGGTCGGCCCTGTTTTTGAGCTAAGATTTAGCCTGAATGAAACCATGAGGGAGAATTAACTTGAGCTCCTTTTTTTTTCCTGCCGTAGGGATCCGCCATTTTGAAGAGTTGTCCTTGTTGAGAGCCCCTGAGGAGAAGGAGAAGCGGAAGCAGAAGGAGAAAGAGACGAATACGATAGAAAGCTATGACTTGACGGCCGTGCGGCTGCCAGCAAGTGAGTCCCCGGGAGGAGTAGGGGGGCTGAGTCAGAAGGAATGACTCTGTGTTGTTGTTTTTTTATGTAAGGGATGTGATGTTTGGATTCTTTGAACTACAAATCTCATCATTCCTCATTTCTGGGAGTTCTACCTGACTCTCACACACTGCACAGACCCCTGTGGCTCACCTGGGAGAAAAAGGTGTCTCTGAAGACAGGTAGAACTTCTGGAATGGAGAACGATGGGATTTGTAGTCCATGAAATCCAAAACTCGTATCGGTCATGAACGTACATGTAATGTGTACATGCACAAAATTGTGCCCCGTCTCCAGGGGTAGGCTTACAGAAAAATGTCAGTTTTAAGCTAAGACAGAAACTTACACTACGGAGAAACAAAATGGTAGACACTGGTAAAATCAGTGGCCGGTCAATTCAGAGCCAATGGTAAGCAGGCTCATTGCCCAAAAATACTCTGGTCTCCTCTCTGTTTTCCTCCCTAACTATAGCAGGCATTATCCTCTTCAGATCAACACACACACCGTTGTTTATGGTGTGCAGAGCAAGTGATTTCTATGCTTAGACCAAGAGAGACCGGCTGAAATCCTGTTGCTCCACTCCGCGTGTGAAATAGGAAATTGTGTAGGTAGAAGGAAGCACTGCACTGAGAGCCTCCCTAAGTGTGCGCCACAATCCTTGTGCCACAAATTGTGCGATCTGTTGCATCATCCACTTGCATGGTGCAGGACTGCCTGGGTGCCAAGCTGTGCGCCGTTCCACAGACGGTCATTGTGCCTTATGCCGACTTCAACAGGATTTCAGTTGTCCTGTGAACTCTCTGCTCCTTTATACTGTAGGACCCCCTTATCCGCAGGATCAGTATCTCCTGGGGAGGCTTTCCGAGTTGAGAATTGGTGGCCAGGCATTCTCGGGTAGGGCCTTCTCCGCAGTGGCCCCTTGCCTTTGGAACAACTTGCCACTGGAGATCCACCTGGCTCCCTCTCTAGGTGTCTTCTGGAATAAACTTAAAACCTGGCTATTTGGGCAGGCTTTCCCTTCTGCCATATCTTCTCTGCCATATGTTTTTGGTTTTATTGTTCTTAAATTTGTAAACCGCCCAGAGTAGACCCTTGGTCTAGATGGGCAGGATAGAAATTGAATGAATGAATGAATGAATGAATGAATGAATGAATGCTATGTGGAGAGCATTTGGTATTATAATAATGTTCAATATAATCTATGTTTTCTAGCATCCGCGGGGGGTGGGGAGCTTGCAACCGTTCCCCCATGGATACAGGGGTCCTACTGTACACACAAAGAATCGGGGATCGCTTTGGGAGGGGAGGGATGAAAAGCACCTTCTCCCCCCCCAACGGCATGACCATTACCCTTTGTCCATTTTGCTTGGACGCCAGGCGCAGAGCAGCAGCTGTTCCGCGGGATGCCCGCTCACTTCTCGGACAGCGCCGAGACGGAGGCGTGCTTCCGGATGCTGTCCATCAGCCAGACGGGGATCACACCCGAGCAGATCATGAGGATGCAGCGGCCGGGATCCGTGATAGAGAAGGCGCAGATCAACAGCAGGTGAGGAGGGGAAAAGAAGCAGGCGGCGTCATTTGGGCAGCTGCAGAGCCTAGATGGAAAGTCATAGGTCTGAATCCATGACTCTAATTCCAATTAGAGTAGGCCCATTGAATCAAATGCTAATTGATATGTCATCTCTTTTACATCAGTCCCAGGAATTCAGTAGTCTTACTCTAGCTTAGATTAGCAGTTGGATTTAGGACACAGAATCATAAAGTCAAAAGGGTGGCAGTCTCCTCCAGCCTTGACATGGGAAATCTGATCCTGCACCCTTGATAAATTTGTTGGCGGAATCGAATGCAGATCCACCAACTCTTGTGAGTGCCAAACTGTTCTTCCGTTCAGTGAGACCCAATTTTATCTAAGTCTTCCGTCTCCAATACTAGCTAATTGGTTGATGTAATGTAGCCAAGAAGGAGATGCCATTTCCTGTATTGTTTGCCTCTTGTTGTTGATAGCTAAAGATATATTGCTCTTAGATATGGAGGTTCTGTTTTTTTAAAAAAACTATTTCATTTGAATCTTCTTTCTCTCTCTCTTCATTTTGCTCCTTTCACCCTTTTCTAGGTGGCTGGATTCATCACGGACATTGTTGCAACAGGGAGTGAAGGAAAATGACCGTTTATGGCTACGTTTCAAGTATTACTCTTTCTTTGATCTGGAGCCCAAGGTCAGTGCTGCTTCATGGATCGGGCCCCCCTGGGTACCAGTCTTTTGTTTGAGGGTATGCTTTCAAAGAGGTTTCTAGTCCTCAAGACTGAGGAACACGACTCAAAAAAAAACCTCCTTCTGTAAGGAGGATAATTTTATGCAGGATGTAAGACAGCTGCTTATTATTCATGTGATAATATTTAACATTTGGTGTTTCAAAACATACTGTATATACCTTTTCCAGGTACAGTATATATATTTGTAAAGCGTTTCTTAAAGAACTGATATATATTAGTTATTTGTAAAGGGTTTCTTAAAGAACTCATATATATCAGTTCTTTAAGAAACCCTTTACAAATCTGAGTTTTATTACAGGATTCAGCTCAGACTTAATCCATGGCTATGCTTGTTTTCCTCTGAAACGGAAGCTGTCATGCTCTCGAGTCACAGCGTTCAAAACCTCCCACCCTTTACTCTCCAGGAAAAGGAAACGAGATTGAAGAATAAAATCATTTAAAAATACAAACAGCAACTCTTAAAACCACTTGGTCTGCTGTGATGATGTTGCATGGTGTAAATTTTAAAGGGAAGAGGCTCTGTGTGAGAATCTCTGTGGGTCCAAAATGCTGGCTTGATTTCATATTAATAAACCAGCTCCAGAGGTTCTCCTCTCTACCTTTTGTAAACATAAGGGATCTTGATTGCTCATTCAAGACCCAGCCAAAGCAAATGCTTAAAACTCACAACAGTAAACGGATGTGGGCAGACTCCCTCCCTCCCTCATCCTGATGTTGCCACTACTGTGACGATGGCAGCTAAGCTCACACGGACCGGTTTGCTTGGCTGTGCAAGGGACAGGCAACATCACTGCTGCTCGGTCTGCGCAGCTTGCCCAAGGCTTCACAGGCTGGCTTTTCCCCTCTGAGAAGGTATGGTGGAGGCTCCAACTCCTTATCCCTGTACTCCAACTCCCTGAGCTATCCGGCCACCCTAGGAATGTTTTCGCCGACTTCCTTGTATTGCGAGGGAGTTGGACCAAATGACCCTTGGATCCCACTCCAGTTTTGCAATTCGATGCCTTTTTGAACTTTGGAAGCAGAAGAATGATACAAAAGTAAAAATAACCCACTAAATAAAGTCTCCACTAACCAGATAGCTCAATGAGTTAAGTTTCTGGCTGCAGAGACAGACGTTGGGAATTCGATTTCCTCCCATGGGACCTCCTGGGAGAAGAGCCAGCCTGGGTAGCCCTGGGCAAGGTGCACAGTCCCAGGGCTCCCCCTAGAGGAAGGGAAGGGTAAACCCACTTTTTCTCTACCTAAAAAGGCTGCCGTGAGTCAGAATGAACTTGATGGCATCTAATTATTATTAAATAAATTCTACCGTAGAAGTGAGAATCTAATCTGGATCTGTTACTCAGTTTCTCACATTGTGACTCCGTTTCTCTCTCCGCGTAGTATGACACCGTGAGGATCAACCAGCTGTATGAGCAGGCCCGCTGGGCCGTGCTTTTGGAAGAGACGGATTGCACCGAGGAAGAAATGATTGTGTTCGCAGCTCTGCAGGTAACTTTTTCTTCCCCGTTAAGCACGCCTAATGGCTTGGCTGGGTCTTGTGAAGGTCTCTGGCAGCCTTTCCCCACCTGGACTCCGGTTCCTATCATGCTGGGCCTAGCTGTCTGGGATAGACGCGGCATGCACTCCAGCTCCCATCAGGTCCAGACGAGGGCCGGTTTATGGGATCTGCTACTTCTAGAGCTAATTATGAGCGCTTGGAGAATAGATTTAAGACCTCCACACGATTCTCTCTTTCTGTCCCGAACCCATGAGCCAACGACACCTTGTTTGTCCGGTGCTTCCTTCCAGTACCGCATCAACCAGCTGTCTTTAAACACCAGCCCTGCAGAGCAGTCTGCCGAGTCCGGCCTCGACGACTTAGACAAGGCTCTCGCCAGCCTGGAGGTTAAGCTAGAAGGGACGTCATTGCCTCCGAATGTCCTGGTAGGTGCCTGAGAGGGGAAGCGTTTCTCCTTGGTGAAGCTGACCCCAGTGTTTTTCTGATGGGGCTTGTTCTCTGAAGACATGTTGTCTTCCACTGGTTTTGAAGGCAATTCAACTCCGAAGGCTCCATTTTTATTTAATTTATTTATTTTTGGTGGTGGCCACAGCTAGTTGGTTCAGCCTTCCTTTTCTTACTTGTTCTATTAAGTTGTTTTTATTATTAAACTCCTCTTTTAACTGTATTTTTTAAAATATTCTGTATTTCATTTTTGGGAACTCTCGGTGCCTGTCTAATAGTTTGTAAATACAGTAATTACAGTTTCTTTTCTTCCTCCTTCCCTGCTCCATAGGAAAGCCTCACAGCCATCCCAGAACTGAAGGATTATCTTCGAATATTCAGGTGAGCTCCGAAACCTTCGGCTTCCGTACGATTGTGCACCTTTTGCTATGCCATTTCAAAAGACACCAGGACTGCTGCTTTTGAGTCCAGACCCCTGCTTGGCAACATGGCAGTAGAAATTTAGCATTTTGCTAAAATAGCCTTCTCAAACTGGCGTCATTCAGATGTATTGGGCTTCAGAGCCCATCATCCCCAGTAGATATGGGGATCATTGCCTGGAGAGTGCCAGGCTCTAGAAAGCTGCCTTGAAGGGAGGGACAGAGTTTCTCGCTGCTGTTTCCTAATAATATAGTGGATTTTTATTTTTTTTATTTTTTTGGTAGCTGTTTATATTGTTGGGCCAGGATTAATAATTTAGTGGATCTGTCCCTGCTAAGATAATTGGTTTGTCCGTGGTCTGTCAGCCTCTCTTACACATTTGTTGTGAGGAGGATATTTATCCTCTTGAAGAATTGCAAATTTATTTAGTTCATTGTGTGGGCCCTTTTAAAGGGCAGACGTTTTCAGCCTCAGATCTGGAATTTTACCAGGGTTTTTGATGTTTTGCATTTATAATCCTGCAATGTTTCATAGTGCTTGTGTGTTTTCTTATACAGTGGTGCCTCGCATAGCGATGATAATCCGTGCAGCAAAAATCGCTGCAAAGCGATTTCATCACTATGCGATATTAAAAAGCCCATAGGAATGCATTGACACTCCTTCAATGCGTTCCTATGGGCTTCAGACTCATCTTTAAGTGAAAATCCTCCATACGGTGGCCATTTTCGCTGCCTGGTAAGCGAGGAATCCATCCCAGAAAACAGCGGGTCGCCATTTTTTTTACCCGATGGCGATTTTGGAACCACCGATCAGCTGTTAAAAAACTAATCGCTTTGCGATGATCGGTAAGCGAAACAGGGTACCGATCATCGCAAAGCAATTTTTCCCCATAGGGAACATCGCAAAGCGATCGCAAAAGCGATCGCAAAAAGTTAATCGCTATGCGATTTCATCGTTAAACGGGGCGCCCGTTAAGCGAGGCACCACTGTACATACCGCACACATACAGAGAGGGAGAGAGAAAGGGAAAAGGGATAAAAGAGTTACCTTATGCTTCAGCATCTGTCCAGAAACACCCCCCCAGTGAACTTTTGGGGAGAGTCCAGTTTTCATTTTTTTGACCTTTAAAGGCAAGGATATCCTATGGTTTTAGAGAGATCTGGAAGGAGACACCTGGCAGTGTGTCTAGAGAGGTGGGGTCGGATGTAAGAGTCTCTTTTTTAATGTGAATCCCTACACAGGCCTCGCAAGCTGACCTTGAAAGGTTACAAGCAATACTGGGTGACCTTCAAGGAGACCACCGTCTCCTACTATAAGACGGCTGAGGATTCCCTCGGAGAGCCTGTGCAGCAGCTGAACCTCAAAGGTGAGTCCAGTAGCCTCCCTGCTATCTGGAACTGGTAGGGTTGGCTGGGGGGTTGTGGGAACTGTGGTTGAAAAAGCCACCTGTCTAAGGTCTGGGCTTAGGGATACTTGACATATTCCCAGCTAGGCACTGCATCTCCAACCGGGTTGGCCACATGCTCTCTTGTATTGAGGGCAGTCTTTTTTTTAAATAGATTTAGATGGGGACTCTTGGCAGAAGTTAAGAAATTAGGCAAATAAACGTTCTGGGACCTATAGAGCAGAATTAGCTTAAAGTAGACCACCCTTTATTGCATAGTTCTCAATTGGCACATACTATCTCGATAATTCATTCAGAGACACTGGTAAGAAAAAATAATAATGAAAATGTTCCATTTTACTCACAGTTCTTCATAGATCTGAAACAAACAGCATTCTATAGAAAAATAGTGACTAAGCTACATGAACAAGACTTAACTGGTTAATAGTTTCATACTGACTAACAGTATGGCTGACTGACTCTAACTGACTACTGTACCTATCTTCAGACTGTCTGACTAAAAAGTAATGTGGAGGGGGGGGAGACTTGAGTGGAGAGATGTCGCTCTCTTCAAAATTCTGAGGCAGAAAAAGAACAAATGGTTGCTGTTAGACTGATTGACATTCACCCCACTCCAGGAAAAAAAAACCTCCCAGACAAAACATCTTAAAGGCAATGCCTGAGGGGTGCAATAATTTCAACAGAAATCACTCTCCACTCTCAGAGAGAGGAACCACTCCTGCTGTCTGGAGAAGACACCCTAGGCTAGAATCCACTGTTCTTAGAATTACAGTCCCCATGTTTTTCACCAGACAGCAGGATTTAGTGGTCAAGGGTGGGAGAATCTTGAAAGATCAGAATCGGAAGAATAATGGCTGAGTTTCCAATTTTAGCCTTTTTCTGGTAAGCGAGGAATCCATCCCAGAAAACAGCGGGCAGCCATTTTTTTTACCCGGCGGCCATTGAACCGCCAATCAGCTGTTAAAAAACTAATCGCTTTGCGATGATCGGTAAGCGAAACAGGGTACCGATCATCGCAAAGCAATTTTTCCCCATAGGGAACATCGCAAAGCGATCGCAAAAGCGATCGCAAAAAGTTAATTGCTATGCGCTTTCATCATTAAACGGGGTGCCCGTTAAGCGAGGCACCACTGTAATGGCAGAGTTTCCAATTTTAGCTTTTGGGGGACTACAACTCCCATAATCCCCCAGCCAGTATTCAGGGGGTTCTGGGACTTGTGGTCCAAAACCAGCCCCCTTTCTAAGCCCTGATGAACGGGCAATCTCTCCCCCACCCCTGTCAGGCCATGCGATAACATCGGTGTTTCCCCATTTCTCACCCTCTTATCTGCTCCACTGCAGGCTGTGAGGTGGTCCCCGATGTCAACATCTCCGGCCAGAAGTTCTGCATCAAGTTGTTGGTGCCATCACCCGAGGGGATGAGCGAAGTGTACTTGCGCTGCACGGATGTGAGTCGGGCATCAGGATGGGGGTCAGCTTAGAATCATAGAGTGAAGTGGGACCCTTAGAGGTCATCCGGCCCAACCTCGACATAGGGCAAGGGTTTT